TGCCGAGAAACAATATGGCAAGCTCTGAGAGCTCAAAATGTCCCTGAGCACTATATAAAACTGATTATGGACATGTATCGTAATGTACAAACCTATGTCAGAACTCCAGACGGCCTGTCGGAGAGCTTCGATATCAAACTAGGAGTTCATCAAGGAAGCGCAATAAGTCCATTGCTAATCCCTTAATATCACCATGAACTACCTAACCCAGAAAATCCAGAAACCTACTCCATCGAACCTTTTATATGCGGATGATGTTGCGCTCACTCAGGCAGTGTAATCGAGATACAAGAAAACTTGGAGCAATATAGGAAATCTCTAGAGTTAAACGGATTACGCATAAGCAGAACCTAGACAGAGTGCATGGTATGCAATTTCAACCTCGACGAAACTATACCATCAAGCGCGGAAGTCAAATTGGATGGCGTAGCCTTACCTAGAGTAAATAAATTTAAATACCTCGGATCAATAATCGCGGAAGATGGATCGATAACAGCCGACATAACGCACAGAACGATGTCTGGGTGGAATAAGTGGCGTACATTAACAGGAGCCCTCTGCGATCCAAAAATGCCGATAAGAACCAAAGGCAAGGTCTATAAAACAGTTGTGAGGCCTGTTTTACTCTATGGTAGCGAAACGTGGGCTTCGACGAAAATCCATGAGCGAAAACTTCATGCCACTGAAATGCGCATGTTACGTTGGGAGGGTGGAGTCACTCTCAAAGACAAAGTGCGTAACGAACACGTAAGGGGGAGTTTCAAAGTAACGCCTATCACTGATAAGATTACAGAGTCCAGGCTAAGGTGGTACGGACATGTTATGCGTAGACCCGATGATCATGTCATGAAAAAGTGTCTTTCCATGGCTACAAAAAGGAGAGGGAGAGGTAGACCACAAGCTACCTGGTTGACAAATGTCCGGGAGGACATGCTAAAGCTCGGCCTTACAGAAGATGATGCTTACCAGCGATTTGAGTGGCGTCGAAGGATTAAGAAAACCGACCCCGCGTAAAGGAAAGAGGCGAGGGCAAAGAAAAAGAAGACTCGCAATCAGTTTGAGTACGAACTCTAAAGACCGATTTACACTTCGACAAGTACAGCAGCGAGTTAACTTGCGAACCTGGCGAGTTAAGTTTGAACCTCGTTTGAACGGAAATAAGCGAGTTAAGTAGCAAGTTAACGATTAAGTTGAACGGGGCCGGCTAGCCGAGCTATTTTTCGGCAAGTTAAGCACGAAGTGCTGCCCTCCCGCGCGTCTCCCACCACCCGCAACTAAACTCGCCGTTCGTGTAAACGAGCGAGTTTAGTTCAGTGCATAAGTTGACAGGATGCAACGTTTGCGCGCCAAAATGTACAATTGTACTTTTATAATGAAACTATCCACAAAGTTTGTACGATACTGTTTATTGAATATTTATACGTTTTATATTGGTTTTAATAATAAAATGGACAGAAGATATCACGTATAAATTCGTACAGGAGTATTTAGAACACGAATGTTTATATAATAGTAGAAGTTCAAATTGTAAAATTAAACCTGGTCGAGATGCTGTACTCATGAAAATTCTTAAAAACTTCTTTAACAACAACCATTAATACCTCTCTGACTGCATCGTTAATTCTTGACGTAATCCTAGAACCATCCGGAAAAATTCTGTAGTCTTGAAACGTCATACTCCAACGAACTCTATGAACTAATGTCCTTAACTAAACTCGCCACGAAGACTTTGTTTGAACGCTAGTGCCCACTTAACCGTTTACTATCAACTGCCCTGTAACTAAACTCGCTACTGTACTTGTCGAAGTGTAAATCGGTCTTAAGTTGTAACACAGAATAAATAATAGTACAAGAAGTTATAATAAATAGAGATAGATAATCTAGAAAATTTCAATGTTTGACGAGCAAATAAATTCAGCTACTTAACGTGAGATGTCGCAATAATATACCGTGATAGTTCTTGCAAATATAGAGCTTTCCTATCCAAAAATGTAAGAAGATTGACGAACAGATTCTATTACAGATTCTATTACTCGACCCTATACAACTCCATGCTATTATAGGCACAAACCACTGACCTCTATATATACAAGTACGCTGGATGTCGCTGTGACGATGAGCTGAGTTGAAAGATAAGATATAACACCGTGACATGATGAAGCGATTTGATTTCCGCCATTTTGGCGCTGATAGCAGAAGTGCACGTCCACGGAACGAATAATAGGGATGAGACAGTGTATCAAATAATATCGATAAAATTCTATACCCTACCTATACCTAAATAGAATAGACTCTATGTATAGATGGACTCTACCCGTAATGTACATTCTATTTATGTATCATATTAATGTAATGCCGTTATAATTCATCATCATTAAAGCTTGTCCACTGCTGAACATAGGCCTCCCCCAAGAAATGCCACAAAACGGTCCTGAGCCACCTGCATCCACCAACGTCCTGTATGGCTTACCAGGTTTTGACTCCATCTAGTGGGGGAACGTCCTACACTTTACCTGCCGATACGAGGCTGCCACTCGAGAAACTTTATTCCCCATCGGTATTCGGTTCTTCGAGCTATATGGCTGGTCAATTGCCACTTCAGCTTACTAATCCATTGGGCGATGTCGGTCACTCTGGTTCTGCTGCAGATAACCTCATTTCTAAGTTTGAACCCCTGAGCATAGCCCTTTTCATAGCTAGCTGAGCGACTTCGAGCTTCCTCATACGGCCATCAGTGAAATACCTCGTCTCAGATCCATAGGTCATCACTGACACTGACTGACGAGAAGATGTGTTGTAATCTCCCGAACGCTGCCCAGCCGAGTTGAATCCGTCGATTGACCTGTCGGTCGAAGTTGAACTTACCTAGTTGGACTATTTGTCCCAAGTAAAAATACTCGTCAACAACTTCAGCTAAGTGTTCCCAAAAACCACCGGCATAGGTGTGACATGGACATTACACATGACTTTTGTTTTGTCCATGTTCATCTTAAGACCTATCCGTTGGGAGACACTATTGAGGTCATTGAACATAGTGCGTAGGTCCTAGGACTATATTATCGGCAAATCGAAGGTGAGTGACGTACACGCCATTGACGTTCATACCGTATCCTTTCCAGTCCAGTAGCTTGAAAACGTCTTCCAATGCAGCGGTAAAGTATTTCAGGGATGTTACGTTACCCTGTCTTACACATCTCTACAGTTGGATTAGTTTTGTACTCTGTCTCTGTACTCGGATAGCCATCGTAGCCCTTAGACCATTCAACTAAAAAAATTATTAAGATTAAACTAACTACACAAAATAAAAATAAAAACATAGGTAATTTCTAAAATAATTTATTGTCAACCGTTCATTTAATTCTAGTACCGTAAAACCTGGCAACTTTGCCCTTGGGATTTGACTTTGCCCAGTTGGGTATTTTTTGGTAAACTTGATACACAGCGAATTTGACATAACTTAGGAGTATTTTTTTGTCTGTAGTATAAAATTCATTAATTTTCTAGCAACACTAAGTGATGTTATGTCATCTATGTAACTTCAGTTGCCTGTCAGAACTTGTATAAGTTGGTAGTGTTTTTTGGTGGGCAAAAACCAGCACAAAAACTTTACCGAAAACTGATAGTTGCAGTAACAGCAGGTAAGTAATTTTTTTACAACCGTAAATATATTTAAAATGGATAATATAGACTACTATTTACGCAAAAAATTTCATAAATTCACCTAATATGTTGGTGGGCAAAGTCACACACTTCTTTTTTGAGCATTGTTGACAACATTGCCCACCAATTTATTACCCGTAGGGTTGTCATCTGCAACTTTTTTCATTTGCTGTAATTTTTGCTAGTAGCACAAATGAAAGATCTCGTCGATCGTATTTTCTACATATAGTATTCTACGCTACTGCGTAATTCCGCATTTTGTAACCTTTTTATTATTTGTTTTTATAGTTTCTCAGATATATTGTTTTTGTTTTTATAGGATGAACAGTAATAATAATTCAAATACATGTACAAAAAGAAAAAGAAATAGAAGGAAACTAGGATCCAGAAATTACAAAAACTACTCTAAGGAAATGTTGGATATAGCAGTAGACCTAGTAAAAAAAATGTTATTTCTAGTAGACAAGCCGAAAAACAATTCGGGATACCACGGAGGACCATAATAAATAAGGCAAAAGAAGTGCACATGAAAACGGTTGGGGGACAAAAACTACTAACAGAAATCGAGGAAGAAAATCTTGTAAATGTTCTGGTAGCTGTCAGTGACTATGGTTCTCCAATGACCAAGTTAGACCTGAAAATGCCTGTTTTTAATTATTTAGAAAAAAATTCACGCAGTCATATTTTTAATGGAAAAATTCCCGGAAACACTTGGGTAGAAAATTTTTTAAATAGACATTCATCAAAATTATCAGTTCGAACTACACAAAATATAAAAAAGGTCCGGCCGAGAAAGGTCTGCTAGAAATGCAAAATTTCTTCGATAATTTACAAGCGACGCTGAAGGATATTCCACCTAGTAACATCCTTAACTACGATGAGACTAATTTGTCTGATAACCCGAGTAATTTAAAATGCATTTTTAGAAGGGGCATAAAATATCCCGAAAGAATTTTAAACAGTTCTAAGAGTTGTGTTTCGATTATGTTTACGGTGTCTGCAGCTGGTGACTGTTTTCCAACATATGTTGTATATAAAGCTACAAATCTATATTCCGAATGGGTTGACGGAGGTCCTGATGGAACTCGTTACAATTGCACGAAATCGGGTTGGTTTGACTCTGCCTGTTTTGAGGATTATTTTAGAACAATTATACTAAAGTGGGCAAAGAATCTTTCAGGGCCAAAAGTCATAATAGGTGACAATTTGTTTAGTCACCTAAATATCGAAGTTGTGGAGCTATGCCAAAAATATGATATTAGGTTTGTGTTTCTTCCACCTAACTCCACACATCTGACCCAACCTCTAGATGTAGCGTTTTTTACCCCTTTAAAAAGAGAATGGAGGAAGGTACTCACAAATTTACAAATTACAAAATTCAAAATCCGGAACAGTCAACTATTAATAAAAAGCACTTTCCTAAACTCTTGAACGAATTATTAAAAAATATTAATCTCAGAGAAAGTAATAATATTAAAAGTGGATTTAGAGCCGCGGGAATATGGCCAGTTAATGCCCGAAATGTTTTGAAACGAATACCTGAGTATTTTGACGAAGAAGTGTACAGAATAGATTCAGCTTTATTAGAATACCTACAAAAAACAAGGTGTTCTAAACCAATGGCAGTGAAAAGGAGTAAGAAATTACGTACAGAACCAGGCAAGTCAGTTTGTGCCGCCGATATTTTAATAAAAACAACTAGTAACAAAAGTGTTCAAAATAAGAAATCCAAAAGATTTGAAAACTATCAGGATAATTTTAATGATATAGAAAGCAGCAGGCAAGATTGTGAGATAAATATATTAGAAGAAGTGACTACTGAAAGAGACATAGAAGAAAATGAGCTCGTATTGGATGATAAAATAGGATTTTTTTTAAAAAACACACCTGAACATATTGAAACTACTCAGAAGATAGAACATGAAGGTATATTTTTTCCGTCCAATAAATCTAACGAAATGCCTTCGACATCAAATGAAAATGTTTATGGAAATAATTTACAAATGTTCCTATGGTGAAATATATCCCATGTGCTTTATAATCCAGATAGTCTCAGTAAAATCTGTATAACAGTTATAAATAATAATACGATTTCCTTAATAAATTACACTACTCCTCTATCACCAAATGATGTGCATTTATTAAGCAAAAATCGAAAAGGTGACAAAGAGAACTTGCCATTTATAGTGATAAATGATAATGATTTGCCACCATGTTTGCAATCAACAAATCAAACAAATGTTACAATAACTTCCAATGTAAAATTAGACTGTAAGGAAAGAAAAACACAGAAAAACTTAAGGATCCAAATAGATGCTGGTGCTAAAGTTATTACGCAATCAGCACTGAAAATGAAATTATTTACAAGGGATAAAATAAATAAAATAAACAATGATTCAAGCGTAACGGACAAAAATAGTGAATACATAAATATGCAAAAAGAAGAAAATACAACACGAAAACGAAAAAGTATGACTAGAACCACATGCGTAAAGCGTGAAAAAAAGGAGTAAAATTAATAAAATCAAAACAAAATCAAGGAAAACAACATCTGTGAATAAGAAGAAATTTAAAAAAAAATATTAGTGAATCAAGCTCTGAAATTTCCGACTTTCAATTGAGTATAGCAGAATCAGATGATTCGGAATATGAAACATTAAATGACTACATAAAAATCTGTTTACAAGATCAGTCGGAAAAAGAAAACTTGGAGCCGGACCCGATCCCGTTTGGGATCAGTGATATTGAGTATTTCACAGGCAATGTTGATAATTTAAACGATGGTGACTGGCTCATAGCAAAATTTGCTACAAAAAAAAAGCGTCAAGCACTTTGTTGGACGGATTTTATTTATTAAAAATAATATCCCTACAATAGAATTTCTAAGGAAAGTTAAAAATACTGCAAATAGCAAAAGATTAACCTTTACGTATCCACCTGTCAAAGATATTTATGAAATGCTTCACGTAGATGACGTTGTTCTCGTCTTACCGCAACCAATAATTACTAGAAGGGGCCAAGTTATGTTCGAAGTTGATTTTTCTACTTATAATATACAATAAACTTATTATAAAATATTAAGTTACTAGCTGTTCCCCGCAACTTCGCCTGCGTGGATTATTTTCCGCGAAACCCTAAAATAAAAGTAGCCTAAGTTGCTCCTTATAAAATCAGTTATCCGCCAGTGAAAGTCTTATCTAAATCGGATCACTGGTTTTTGCGTGATGTGTGTCCAAACAGATATTGTGTTAGAGTTTTAGTATAGTATAGAAGAAAAGATAAATATATGTTGTAAACTAAAGTTATTTTGTTAAGTACAAAACTTTACTGTTAAATTGTTATGTTATTATTATAATATAATGCAAATTCAGTCTGAAGTAAAATAAGAAACTCTTTGTTTATCTATGCTTAAGTTTTACTTGATCTCAATTGTAACAATTGTTCCTATAAGACTGAGAATATTTTGTATAATAATTAAAACATTAAGAATAGCTGCTATTATATTTACGTAATTAAAATACTAATTATAGATGACATATTTGATTTGTTTATGAAAGATAGAAGAAGACAGTTAAGAAGATGATTACATCTTTTAAAAATCCCTTAGGTGTTTTTGATATTTAAGCTGGACCTATAATATAAGCTAGTTTGATTATAGTCGCAAGTAAAATTATTGGGTACACACTACACCTATGTTTAAGTGTTCCTTGATTTCGATTTTAAATCGAAATCTAAAAATACCCAAAGAACCTGTGCTCAATAATATAAGTTTAGGTATTTTTAGTTTATTCTATTACATGTTGTACTTTTATTCCTTTTATTCTTTATTGTTAATCGCTACGTAACTCAAACAAACAGTATATGTAGGTACACCGTTGTTCTTTATTTTGTATCCATTATGATTGCACTTTTTGAATTTATTATGTCAATAAATATTTTATCTATAAAAAGTTTTCATTTATTATTGGAATAATGGTGACAGCCCTTAGACGTTGATCGTTATTGTAAGAAAAATGTTCTAGGTGGGTTTTTGACTTTGCCCACTCAATTTTAAAGGACAATGAATATGACTATTAAACTGATATTTTAATATAATACTGCATTGCTCTACATTTATGTTTAGCTATTTTAAGATTTTTGATACGGTTTATAATATCGGAAATATTTAAAGTTGGCAAAGTTGCCAAAAATCTATGAATTTTTGCCCACCACATATGAATGTGTTTTTTACAAATATACATACAACTTTCTGGATATTTTAAGAAATAAATATCGAGACATGAACTTAAAGTACTGTGTGGTACAAATATGGTATGAAACATATAACGGGTTTTCAAAATAACTCAAAAATCAAAGAATATTCTCATTTTTAGGGAAAAGTTGGAATGTTTTACGGTATTATAAAAAACAAATCAGCTGCTATAATAACGCCTATTCTAATCAAATACAGGTCTGTCTATAGACAGTAAAATATTTTCTACTATATAAAAATTTATGTTGTTCGTACTTTCTACGATGCTATACAGTTCATCAGATTGAGGTAAAACTTAGTCAACTTATTGGTTGCACTTGTGCGAAGGTTATACGCATGATACAATTAAGTGACATTAGGTGGCATGCGTATTATACTATTTATTTGAAAGTTAAAGAAAATCATTCTATTTCAATGATTGTATTTTCATTCCTAATTATACAATATAACTGTTCCACATTTTTAACGATATGTCCACAATTACTTCTTCTGCGGCAGCATTGCGCCGGGTACGAGCTAGCAAAATAATATAAAGAATATAAACTTTGAATTACATTGTTATCAGTTATTTACAACGACATTTTCGAAATTAAAATAACAATATTAAAAAAATAACAGAAATTATCTTACAGTCCTACTCTCTGTGGTATCGTCCCAAGAATGCTGGCTACGTGTCCTCACTGAATGGCTATACTTAGCCTTCAAGCGAGGAAACAACAAACTAAACAACTTCTTATTACAAGCAGCGAAAATCAGTTGCATATACAGTTTTTTAGGAACTACACCGCACGTGCACCCTACGAACCAATAGTCTCTTCAGCAAATTGCACAAATATGTACTCATCTTCTAGATATTCTGGGCTATTTACTTAGTTCAGTTGCCTCTAGTGCCACCTCTGCTTTAGACGAGGTACCCCTGAGATGGGATGCTGTCAAAGTGTTCGCAAGTAGTATCCCACACTAAAGCTTTATCTCTCTCTCTCTCTCTCTCTCTCTCATGCAACCAAACCCATACCGTCGGGTCTCCTGGTATCGTCTCTAAATATTCTACAAAGATCTTAAACTGAGGAAACATTTATAGAGATTCGAGCTCTTCGGATGAAATTTTCCAAGAACTAAGGACAACATTATGTATATTAAAGAATACCATAACATTATTACACGGTTATTTAACCGTGTTTTAAGGATGGATTCGACCAAATACTATGTTAAACCAGAGTAACTAACCCTCGAATAATTTTACTCTTTGGTCTTTACACCAAGATAACTTTATTTTACGTTTTGTAACACAAACGTAGAGAAGCCAATACTTGCTATTGTTACTCCAGAGTTGGTAGTTGGTGGTAGAGTTTATTCATTCAAACAAGTAAACCAACATAAACCAGAACACAACTGTTGTAAAGCTCAACCCAAGATTTGAGGTCCACATAATTTTCCGTAAGTGTAAATAATGCCGCCCAATGGCAGCCCCTCCTTAGTTGCTGACTTCTCCCCCTGTTTTCATTCATGTGCTGTGCATGAGTGACGTGCAGTTTCGTGGTCACTTGGAAGAGAAGTCCAAATTGGCCTCTAAAAAGCTTGGCGTGCTCAGCAGAGCGGGACAGTATTTCATGCCGGCACACCGCCTGCAACTTTAAAAGGCGCAGGTTCGGCCGCACATGGAATACTGTTCCCATCTCTGGGCTGCGGCTCCCCAGTACCAGCTCCGAACCGATACGACCTGGGGACCTTCAAGAAAAGAGCTTACTCCTTTCTAAAGGGCCGGCAACGCACCTGCAATTCCCCTGGTGTTGCGGTTGATCATGGGCGGCGGTAGTCACTTAACATCAGGTGAGCCGCATGCTCGTTTGCTCCCTCTTCTATAAAAAAAAATTCTCAGATAAGGCGCACCAGAAACAAGCCACACTGCCCTTCGCGTTCTCTAACTCCACTGACTCCACTCCTATGGACTCCCCGAGCCCAATATGTGAATGGAGCCAGGGAAAACTATCACTTGGAAGCATCAAGTAGTGCAGCCTCACCAAAGTCGCGAAAGATAGTCGAGTGGCGCATTATCAATCGCTATACCAACACTCTTCTTCCCTTACGACTCCTCCTCGACTACAGCGGTACAGGGAGAGGAATCTTCTCTAGCCGCAGCCCACTAAAACACATACAACGTGGCTCGACATCATCAGGCGACCTTTCGACACTTGGCTATGGCCCTTGAGTTTGATGAAAAATGAGGAAAGAAGAAATAAAAAAACATTCGAAATAATAATCTAATACCTTTATACTTACTGGTACTGGTACTATCAGAAAATATTGTCGGTATACTGCACCCTTTCAAAGTGGTGCAGTTCTCATGTCTAATAAAACAGGCGTCTGTGAAATGTTTGGACCAAATATTACGATCATTTTGTTTCGGACGCCAATTCACAATATCTATGCTTTTAAGCCATAATTTTAATCTAGGTTCACTTGGGAACCTGTTAATTAATAAATATTTGATAATCGTCTGTTGTTGGCGACTTTGTTTTTAACAGATATGGGTAGGAAAGAACATCGATAAGTATTATAGACAAGGAACTCGATAACCCTATTGAATGTTATTGTTTATCAAAACTCAGTGATATACAGCCAAAGATGTTGGTATATATGATATTAAGATTAGTAACAAATTTTTAAGTACTTATATTATCAAATAGTTTTAATTTGTTTCATATATCGCTGCAAATTCACTTACTTGTGAAATGTTATACGACTTTCCTTTTGGTAACGAATTTTACAGAATACGCACACTCTCATTATTAATAAAAATAATTCTTATTATGTGACTAATATTATACACAATCAAACAACATAAAATACTTTGATTTTTTAGATTAAAAGTTCAAAATACAGATTTATTAAATAAGACAATTTAAATATGACAACAGACTTTGGCATATTATGTCAATTTTATTTTTCAAGACATCCTTTAGCGGCGCTTCAAATTGGCGCAGTCATTTTCTATGGTATATAGCCAGTCCAGCGTACTTGTATATATAGAGGTCAGTGGCACAAACTGATCACCACTGACTTTGCTATACTTTATTACCTGATACCATCGAAGTATATTACCAGCGTATAGAACAGACACCCCGAACCAAAAGTTGCTTCATTTTGGTAAGAGTTAGAACTAAAGTTCGCTGCAGCGCTAAAATAATAGTTACGTCGTCTAACCAAACTATTAAAACATGCAGCGCTAGTTTGCATTAGGGGTTAGTTTTCTCGCGACCAAAACGTCATAAGCGCCAGGAATTCATGGCGCTTACGCGTATCGTTCAACGTAGTGTACAAGTCGCTCCCATAGATTATGAAGTGTGGAAGTACCTCTACACTACATACCATAGATTTTACAGCTGCAAAATGGCGGCAGTAGACAGCCCGATTCTCGTGAGCACTGTAACAACGCGAAAAACTTTACATCAAAGAGTTTTAAACATGAAGGTTAGAGAACAGGAGAACGATCACTACGTACTGAAGCATAGCCCGCCTGTCCTTGAAAATTGTAGAATATATAGCGGCACTGACGTCGGTGAGTAGTGACTGCGAAGTTAGCTGTTTATGAGTACAAGTAGATGAAGTTAGTTGAATAATGTACAAATTTTCATTTCATTTTAATGAGAAAATTTTCATGCTCAGTAATTTTGTAATTTTTGACAAAAAGAAACATTAAAAAATGGAGAAATACTTTATTGTGCGTGGATGTGCAAGTGGTTTAGCAACTGACCGGAAAAATAGACTGTAAATGACTTTTATTGACCGAACTTAGTGATCGCAGCGCCTCACTTATGGTGTTCATATTTCTGGGACACTATTTTCTACGGCGATCGTTCTCCTGTTCTCTAACCTTCATGGTTTTAAACGTGTTAATGTCTACTTACCGATGAAATGTTAAGCCATCACTTTTTTTTTGATGTTCTGGAGTGTTTACTGCAGTACAACCAGGCATTTCAAAGTTGTTATTTATGCGAAGCGAACACGACTCGTCTGTGCGGGCGTTGGACACTCACTTAACAGTTGCGGTACAGTGTACCGCAAAGCGTGACGCAAAATCATACGAGGCGTTGTCTTCTCGGTATGTAGTAGTAATACCTCAATGCCTGATACTCGAAGAACTACTACTTGACGTCGACGACGATTAATTACTGAATACAAGAACAACTAGAGATGGGTCGTACTTGCAAAATCAAGTACCAGGGCTTGCAAGTACGTCGTACCTTCAAATACCAGGGCTTGAGATACTTTCAAGTATTTTATTTCTGCATCGAAACTTGATCCGTAAGAATATACAAATAAGTAGTGCAATCACATAAATATGCTAAAATAGTAAATTTTCAAGCCTTGATGGAACAAAAATACTTGCATAGAATATTGATCTGTTACTATATACAAATAAATAATACATTCGCGTTTACAAAATAAATACTTCCAAACCTTTAAAGTTACAAGTTTCAAGACTTGTTGTAAGAAAAATACTTACATAGAATATTGATCTGTAACCATATAAAAATAAAGAGCACAATCGCGTTTACAAAAAAAATACTTCCAAATCTTTAAAAGTTCCAACTTTCAAGACTTGTAATAAAAATACTTGCATAGAATATTGAACTGTAACTAAATACAAATAAAGAGCACAATCGCGTTTACAAAAAAATACTTCCAATCCTTTAAAGTAAATATACCTTGATAGAACATTGGTCCGTAACAAAATATAAATAAGGAGCAGAATCGCGTAGTGTCGACAGAGCGAGAATATTCGAATACTTTGAAGTCTTGCAAGTATTTTGGGTTGGCACTTGGTCGGCGTACTTGCAAGTAAATACCTGGTATAAAAACCTGGTCGCGTAAATACGCACCTTCCCTAAGAACCTTTCGAAGCTCAAAACTTACAATAATTTACTGAAAATTGTATTAATGTATCACGAATACCCTCGTAATTCGTATATATTTATTTTTTCCATTCTAATATTATATAATACGGCATATTTACGCCTACATGTATATCCAGTCATGGTTATATATATATATATATATATATATATATATATATGTGTGTGTGTGTTATGTATGTAATATAAGCCTAAAAATGAGTTAAGCAGGCAATACTCCGCCTATTTACCAACTGAACACTGAATATACACTTACGTGTCAATTCTTAAATATGTGTATGTATGTATACGAATTACGGGAATATTCGTAGTACATTAATACAATTTCGCTAAATTTTGTGTTTAGTTGTTAATTTTATTTCCATATCATAATATAAATTTTCAATCGATGAGTTAGGCCACGTACAAACAGTGTAACTGACGTCTTGTTGAATTACATAGTTGCATTTCAAGAGCCGCCCTATGTGTAAATAACGTATCCGGCGGTGTAGGAAAAAGCAAAAGAAAGCCTCTATATGTCGACAGATATGTCAGCAGATGACATCTGCGGACGCGTCCGCCGACGTGTAGACGGGGGGAATTTGCTCGTCTGTCGTCGGTATTTAACGTCGGCAGATGAGTCTGCCCCTAATCAGTTTGTGGTCGGTGTTTGTAACACGCAACAAAGGGTTTCAGCGCGAGCGTCTCGTCTGTCCACACGTCTGGCGACGCATCAGTGTTATCTGAGTTGCCAGTTCTATTTCTTTTTAATAACTCTATTGTGATGCACACTCAAGTAGTAGTTAAAAAGTACTTTAAATAAATAGCTACAGTCTCAACATCCATTTATTAAACGCTGCGTGCATGCGAGTTGCGCCTGTCGAGAATTAACACAGACTGAACAACCTACATACGTGTGGACGGCTTGTGCTGATTCATCTGTCAACGGCCGCTGACGCATTTGTCGACGTGTAGAGGCATGAGAAATGTAAATAGGTATTTCGTGAAAGAAGTCCACTAACATGTCACTCACCACCACTCTTTCTTCTTACTCCAAAACATCTTCGAACGTAGAGTTAATTAATTTATATCTAATATTGCTGTATGTAACAACGATAAGTACTTACCTATTTATTTACAACAAAACTTTTTTATGTAATATTTTCCAATGCAGGGACGGCAAAGAGATCTACATGATCAATATGCTTTCATTTTATTGTTTAAAAGTTTGTATCTTTAAAACAATATGACCTTTTTGGCAAATGACGTCACCATGAGACGAAATGCGTTGATAGATTTTCTTTTGCCACCACCACACGGATTTTTTTTTATATTGGCATAGATTAAAGAAGATATCTTAAGTTTTTCGGTTTCTAGAGAAGAAATATGTGTAAACACAAAATTTAATTCTTGCATATTTTTAATCTATTTTTAATTAGATCAGATAAAACAAATAAGCAAAAAAACATTAACATTACTTTTTATAACAATTTAACTTCCCCGTCATGAAATCCGTTAAATGTTTTACCTTTTTTAAAGTGCCGCCGCCCTAGTAGCAGAAAAAGTTGTGAGGCCCCCTCCCATTGGTTACGGCTTTAATTAAAAGGATTTTTGTGTACCTTATTCATAACAGATTGTAACCTGATAGATCTCTGTACCCCTTTTTCGAGAAATAATGCCCTAAGCTCTAAACCCGTTAAATTCCCTTAAACGATATGACAGTTAATAAATAAGTTTTTTAAATACTGTTGTAAATATATTAAGGAAATGCGTCATAAAATGTAATTCGTGTTTATTGTATTAACTCTAAAAGTTGCAAGGAAACTTGATAACAAACAAATTATGTTACAGAATATTTGACGAATTGACTTTTTGGTAACAATGTTCAGTGTTGTCACACACATGTACAGGATATATCTTTTGACAGCCAAACTGAGATTTAAATAAGTTTAATAAAACTTTAATTTCTCCTTATAAATAAAAAAGAATAAAAATCTATAAATAATTCAGTTTTACACAACAATAAGTCAATGTATTTACGCAAAAAACTTAGGTGTTTGAACAGTTTAAAATAACCATTTAAAATAGAATACCAATTAAATGCGAGGTGATCCTTGTTAAAATCTTTAGACTTGAAAAATCATATTTTTAAAAACGATCATAAAAACGAATTAAATTAAACAGTTACATTTTTAGTATACAAGTACAGTAAACATAATTAATATGCAGTGACATTGTAGTTAAAAGAATGCCTAGAGCTAAAGTCATCATTATTTTACATTTATCCAAACCTCAAAATATGTTAAAAATTTTATGTTACAGTAGAATTAGACTATTGAAAGCATGCTTTTAACCGCTATCATATTCTTCAGTCGACAAGTTGTGACCTCTTTGAAAGAATCTGTATAACACGTAGTCTTGAAGTCAGAAAATTTTCAGTCTATGAACTATTTTATGGCCTCATATGTCCACAACCACAACCTATATTTAACCTGTTCTTTACAAATGTAACTTAATTTCCATTCAGTAGAGATAAACATTGACTTGGAATACAATCCTTAGATCATCTATTATATCACTTTTTTCACAATGATATCAGCATTTAGACATGGATAGAAAAAGATTTTGGATGTTCAATCATGTCCATTTGTTTTTGCATGTGGCACAGATCCATTAACTAACGGAGCTGTTGTCTGTGGTTCTCTGATTGTCTTCTGTAGTACATGCGCGTCTGCCGGCTCTATTCTCTTGTAGTAATGCTCTTTTGTTTCTACAATTTCAAACCCGAACTTTTTGTAAAAATCAATAGCTCCCTCGTTGTTTACTTGAACATGCCTGCAACATAAATAGCATACATTTGACACATATTATATTTCTTCAAATACAATTGCTAAATGAAATATCGGCTAATTAATTTGAACTCTATAAGAATACAGGACAATCCCTTTGAATAAATTTTTATATTATGTTAATGAGATGGGTGAGTGTCAATCGTGAATGATTTGTACATTTGACCCGGGTCACATCAAAATATTGAAGATTGCAGTTACATTTTTGAATGTTCTGGATCAAACAATTGACAGAGCCTACGACCAAAAAGTACTAATGCCCGACAACCGACATTATCGAGCGGGTCTCACTGAACACAAGAGTACTGAAACTCAAAATGCTTTATTTGAATGATCGATAAGATGAATTCTATGGCTATGAGTATTTAGCCAGTACATTACCATTTTCTTATGCAAGACTGACCCAGACTGGCAGCGGGGAGCAGCATATATAATGTGAGACGTCGGCCCTGCGTGGCATTTAAGGCAAATCCACCCAAAAGGATGAGACATCCAGCAATGGATTTTCACGAGGTGATGGAGGGGAAAGGGGAGGTTCTACGTTTAATTCAATATTCAACATTTTAAAGCAGTTTCGAAAATATCAATACAGGGACTTGTTATAACAAACAACCTTACATTGAATAAAACTAAATTTACGGATTTTATCGCGTTTATTTCACTACTTTTACTTATTTTTAATTCCCGACGTTTCGGGTGCTTTACAGCAACCATGGTCACGGGGGGGACTGAGATGTTTGACGTCCCAATGTCATAGTTAGTCCGGCTACCTTCAGTTTTTGAATATTAATTTTTGGTCCGATTTACGCAAACAACCTTACATCCACCTGATGGTAAGTCTGCAGTCCATGACATCTTGACACCTGCAGCCAAATTCAAACAAAGAATGCTGCAGCTGTGTGGTCGGTCACCTTTGAGAACTATGATGGGAGTGTCTCACAGACTGCAATATACCCTTCATTCCAGAATACAGCAGTAAAAGCACTGCTATTTGGTAGTAATTCCCACCTAGACGGACTCCAAGGCAGAAAAGTAGTCCTATCAGCCTATCACCAATAAAAAGGCATTAAACCTAGCATGCCTACCATATCCTGGTCAGTCTAAGGGCAAATGGATTTCCTGGATAACTAAAACATTTGCGAGCAAAACTACAAATTCTCTTTATGACTTGACTGACTGATCATATTCTATTATATATGTTTTGGCGAGACAATAGTACCGATAAGTGTCGTTTTCGTGAAGTTACTAACAATCTAACCAACCCTAAATATGATTAAAACTACTTTTACGGATTTTATCGCGTTTATTTTAAAAAAAAAAATTTTATAAATCCGTAAAAGTAGTTTTAATCATGTATAGTGTTCGCGTAAATATAAGAAATCATTATGCAACCCTAAATAATTGAGTTGACTTATTCTTCAGTTTTCACTTCTCAAATTTTGGATAACATAACTGTAAAACATTTTTTTTAAATCGAAGTTATGCTTTTTTACACTTTGATTGCCCTTATCTCCATTGTCTCCCACCGCCTTACGCAATTTCTGCTTGTTGGAGACTCAAATATTTTTTGTCTCAAAATTTTTCCCCTCTCCTTTCTCTTTTATTGCCATTTCAGAGGGGTAACTGTTTACAAATTCTAAAGTACTGTTGTTAATTTTAATTTATTACGATTTAGCAGTATACAGCAGCAAAGTCATAAAAACTAAAAGACAGGCAACAGAAAAATAGCAAGATATCCATTGTGTACCATGTTCAGTGGCGAAGCTAGGGCTCTAAACTAGGCAAGCCCAAGATATGGTTTTGTTTTTAGCAGTTTTATAAAAATACACCAATCTTGATCTGTCTCCACTCTTCAGTTTCATATTCAGTGCTGTCAAGGACGTGTTTAACAAAGCACACAGAAGACATACTACTACCGCTAAATAGATTGTATGACATATGCAATTGCATACCTTTGGTGGCTTTGAAAAGAGCCGTTTGAGTTTGCTTGAGCGAAAGAAAAAGATATTTACATACAATACAATACATGAACAGACGAAAAGAATGCACAAAGTACAAACAAACTATGTACAAAATTAAAAAAGGGACGCCTGGCAAATGTGAAACATCGAAATTATTTTGTTTAAGTTATATGCATGGAGTCTCTTTAACCTCTCTTTAATAACCCTTTATGTATAGAAGAACAGATTACGACAGGAATTAGGAATAACGAAAAGATAAAGCTTGGAAATTTTTTACCATAAAATAATGACTATTTATCATATAATTATTAATTTTCAATTTTAATAAATCCTACAAAATTATATTTTTAACTCATATGGTAATATAAATATTAAATTATTAAATTAGCCGATAGCGTGTTTGTATCATCTAGCGCAATCTTTAAGTACCACCGTGAGAATCGATCAATTTTCGTTCGATAAAATGACCTCACCTATAGAATAAGTAAATGGCGCTATTAAAATTTTATATACTGAAGGACTAAAGGACTTTAAAAACCTCAATACATGTATTATTTTGATTTATTACATTAAAATTTGGGTTTCACATAAAAAAAAGATTGTAACAATTATTTGCTATAAAATTAAACTTATACCTTGGTACCTCATATTTTACGCTGCCGTTCAAAATGATATATTTAACTCATATGGTAATATAAGTATTGAGTTATTAAACCTTTAAATACGCCTAGCTTAATTAAACTTTAATACATACTAAAGATTCCTTAACTATTAAAGTATGAAGAAAAGTTTATTGAATTAAAGTTCAAACAACTTCGGGGCAAAGCCCAGCTTTTAGTTCCATAGTAATTGCTATATAAACATTTCGTAGCTATATTTCATTAGAGAACATTTTGCCACAGGTTAGAAAGGGAGCAATAGTCTTCTCGAAAGCCCGGTAAAAAGCCAAAGAGATTGCCGATGGATATGTATTTGGTCTGTCTATTCGGAAACCGGCTTGCTTGGGAGGCTGGAAATCGTCGAGTCTACGTGCGAGACGATTCGTAATGACTCTCGAACACAGCACTTAGACGCGGCTCAGAAGGGAAATCAGTCTATAGTTCTTCAAGGAGCGTTGTCGCCTTTCTTGAAGAACAAGACCACCGCACTTCTGCTTCACGCCTCCGAAATAGTGACACCATAGAACACGGAATTGAAGAGCTTCTGAAAGACTTTGAGTATCGGTTTTCACCCGCTTTCAGAAACTCGCCCGGCGGACTTGCCATTTTTAAGGTGCTGAAGATTCATTCCAATCTCGCTCAGACTGACGTCCGGGATATCATCGGAATAGTTCGGATAAGATTTACTCTTGCATTGTTACTCACACTGGCATGCCCCAAAGATGACGTGTACAGTTGCCTATAGAACCTCTCTAAATCACTCAGAATCTCAGGTGCCCTGGAAACTATGCTGCCACACTAGGTCTTCAGCTTCAACAGTTGGCTCTTTCCTGGCCTGATCCCTGGAAAAGACTGAGGAGCCCTGGTTCCGCTCAATCTCTTCTTCAATACGAGCTGTATTGAAGTTGCGTAAGTCTCGCCGCATGCATTTGGAGATCTGTCTGTTCAGTTACCTGTGTGCTGTCAAATATGCTGACGACTGCAGCTTCATCTCCCGTCTAACAGCCATGAGATTAAGAGTGTGATCGGAGTTTTTGTGTTCTTCTGCGACGGGTCTTATATAACTTAGCTCCAACCGCAAGGACCGTTTCCACACGCTTTTCATTTATATCGTAAACTTCATTGCAGTTTTCTAGGCACTGAAAACGTTTTGTAACTCGAGCTGAAGTTTTCGGGGCTTTGGATTAGAGCATGAGGGAGAAGGAGCGTAGACTTCATTAGACGTGACCTCTCCAACTTCATGTTCAAGTTTAGAGCGCCTCTCACCATTTGGTGACCGCTGCCAGTTTTCACCCTTGCGATCACTGAGACATCACTGAACAGTTGTCGTCTGGTCGTCATAATTAAGTCAATCTCATTATTTATCGGACCGTCAAAGCTTGACCAGGTCCACTTTTTATGGGGCCGCTTTAGGAATAAAGAGTTCATCATAAAAAGTCCCTCTTTCTCCATAAAGTCGGCCAGCTGCTGGCCCCTTGGTTTAGTTGCCCTATTCTGAATTTCCCTACTTTCAGCTCACCATTCTCTCTTGTGCCTAGTTTTGCGTTGAAGTCTACCATTAACACCGTAAAGTGGGTTTTGGAGGAATGCATGGCACTAGAGATATCCTCATACATTTTCACCACCTCCTCATCGGGATATGCCGAGGTTGGTACAAAATCTGACCTTCAGTGAAAACCGTTTGGTGATTCAGAGAATAAGGTACGCAACCCTGATCGACACACTCCCGATCTTTAAAACGTTGTTAACGAGACTTGTGGACGATAAATCCGACATCTACTTGGGACAGATGGTCGCCGTCCCGATGATAGAACAAGTTGCCGGATTCGAGGATTACCATTTCCTCTCCATCTCTTCGGACCTCAGATAATCCTATAATATCCCAACGCAACATGTCTATATCCTCTTCCAACTCCAGGATCTTCTCTTCTGTCGTAAGGGTGTGTGCATTATATGTTGCCAGGTCGAGTCGTCTTACGTGGCAGCCGAACCTCCACCGGAGATTCTTAGCACCCCCTGCCCCGTCATTACCATAATCGCCACTGTAGTCAGGAATACCAAGGCCGTCGGGGACTGGGGGAAGTATGTGTCGTTGCCATTGGGGGGTATATTGCCACGATTGCCACACTTGGCGAGAGGGTTGGCAATCGCAGTTTTTCATTGCTGTTATCGGAAAGATGCTGCTGCCCATCTTCTGCCTCAGATACCCTCTGTCACCTCTTAGGACACCCACGGGAAGATATGGGGTAGTGGGTATTCTTACCCGCCACTACATGAGGCGGGTAAGAAATATATTTGAAATATTAAAAAAAAATATGGCCAAATCCCAAAAAAAGTGTAATAATATACTTTCAATGGAGTTGGACACCAAAAAAAATTCACGGACCAAAAGCAAAACTAGATGTCATTTCCCTATATGGCCACTCCATCGCTGGGAAGAACAGGCCAAATATGTAGTTGTTACATTTGATATTCACATGAATTTCGCAAAACACAAATGTAGTATGCTATCAGAGCCAAGTCAGCCATTGGGAGTCTCCACCTGCTTTTTAACAGAAAGAGCAAACTGTCACTAATTCATAAACTCCACCTATACAAACCTGCATTGGACCTATTATGCCTTATGCAAGTGTATCTTTCGCTCTCCAGAGACTGCGTAATGTACTTATGGAACTACCATGCTCGCTCGATCCCGCCGACCCAAACGTCAAAGGCACATCAAACATTAACACTACAACCACACCAAATGAGACAAGGACAAGTGGGATAACAATGACAGATGGGGCACGACGAGTTACAGCACACACCATGTCACATCATACACCCGCGTACCTGGACAGTCCTCATCGCCTAGAACATCAACCAACACAAGTTAAGCAGTCAAATGAGTCCGCACTCCCCTACTCAGACAGCAGTTAGATAGGTCAAAACCCTCCAGAGAGGGGACATGATGATTTTGTGTTCGTATCAAATGAAGCTGTAAAAGCCAATAGGCTAACAGCAGTTGCATCATAGAATAAAGAACAGTTATATTAGTAGTATAGTTGGGTTGACATGAATGGGTCGGCTTGACCGGGGAAGGACCACACCCTCACAGAATACCAGCGTAAAATAACGGAGACCCTTTTTACTGGAAACGAGGCATTCCATCTTAGTCCTCACGGGTGACGATGCATCTGCATTTTGATTTGTAATCGAGGATAGATGTAGATGTCTATGGGCCGCAGCAACCACTTACCATCATGTGGACTGTGTGCTCGTTTGTCACCCTATCCTATAAAAAAAAACAATGGCAGAGGCCTATTTTCAGCAGTGGACTTTTGACTGGCAGCAATGAATACATGAATATATACTTACTATACTACCTCTATTACCTTTACTTATGAGAAAATTAACAACGCTAACATCACAGAATAAAGATAATGACAAATTTTACTTCATCTAATTTTTGTGCTTACTTTAACAGACACTTGTACTAAATTAACTAACTCCAAACTATCAAGATACAAATTACTTAGTATGAAACTAGTTCTCTTAAGCGTCAGTAAAAACTAAGTATACAGTTAACAAAAAAGTTGTATATTTTCTTAGTCTATCGTCAACGCGAGTATGGTTGAAAAGCTTGTTGTTTCATCCAGCGCAATGTTAGAAAAAGAGGCAAAGCGAAAAGAGAGAGATAGCGCCTGAGCGCTCGGTTAGCATTTGGTAACTTTTGCCGCTCACTCGCGGCTCGCGGGCGGTAGACCGCTAGTGAGCCATTCATGACAATAATATTGAATCGCACGCGCGCGTCTCGCAACTATGTCCTCGCGTGCGCATAGCCATAGTTTTGAAAATTACTCTGCATACAGGACAGGTATATACCTACATTTGGTACAGTATTACTTTATTATATTACATGCTTTGTCTAGTACGCACGTAATGCTTGGCCTCGGAGATTTATTTGTGTTGTATTTTTACCAATCTGTGTACCGTGCGTGCGTTATTTTTGACGATATGGAAATTATTTATAACATACATTAGCTTTTTCTTATTTCATATATACAAGTACCTCATGGATGAAAAAAGAAAGTCAGACAGATTTTCGCTATTAAAAAACTGTAAACACATAAAGCTAGACATTTCCAGTAACAATGGTCTCGATTTGTATCAATTTCCCGTACAATGAGATCCGTATAAACAAGTTTTTTTAAAATGGTCGTCGTGCGTACAAGCCCGGACACATTCACACATTAGTCAGCCATTACAGGCGCAAACGTCAATACTCACACATAGACCAGACTCAGTTTTGTTTTAGCAGGGAGTTCCGTTCGACTTCTTTTGTTCGTCCATCATATACAGCACAAAAAAGTAAAGGTAAATGATTTATTCTGCTTAGGGCTAGTAGGAGCAGAATAAATTCTTTATCTATCCAGTTTGTCTGTATTAGTATTGTATTAGAGGATGCGGAAATTAGGTAACGTAGTTAATTATTTAACATGTATGTACCATATGTAAATTACTACAAATGTATGTTGTATAGGTGCTAATTTGTACCGTAGTACAGGTGGTTGATCAAATAAAGTACCCTAAGTACAATTGGGTAAATATCAATTTTTATTCTAAAAAGCTTTGTCACATTTTATAAACAATACATAAAACAACCCAATTGTCGAGAAGATTCCGTTTTCCGAACACAAACAGTTTTTAAACTGTCAGAAGTGATTGAAAATTTAGAAATAATTTAATTATTATCATCTAATACAGTCAATCATCGAGTCTATCTCTCATTGGCAGTTTGCGTGGGAAACATGAGTCAATAATTTCTGTTGTTCACAACACTAAACCTTTCACAAGACAAAGCAGTGTCCAATATAAAAAAACAAGAACGTTATAGTAGGTAAAACTGAATTCACTAAAATTAAAATACAACAGCACATTCGCGTACGCGCAGTCAACAAATTCTATACCTGCTAACAACTCCGAGAGGCCCGAGAGCCGAGCGTCATTCAACTCCCCCGTCTCACCTTGCCCCAACCCCGCACGATTTGTCCCCCGCATACCTCACCACCACTTGACTAACAAGCAAGTGAGAACGCGATAACATTGAACGAAAAATAGTGTGCGGAAATTTCATAAAACTTGTTCCAGGAAATACGTGTTTTTCAGTAAGCCTTACAAGTTTGTGAAATAAATGTTTGTCATTTAGAAACTCGATTACATTTGCGAGGATTCTATCAAAATATTTTCATTGGTTTTACTATTTATGAGTACATTATGAACGGCCAAAATTCAGGTAATTTTGTGCAAAAAAGCAGATTTTTGGAGGCTTATACTGAATTTGTTTCTCCAAATTTTGATTATTTGTTTTGATAAAAACCTAGCTATAGTGCACAAGATACCTATTAGTTCAAAAATTTCAAAGAAAGATCTATTACAACACTATAATCATGTACGAGCATTTGTATGAAAAGTAAGACGGGTTGGCCGCTACGCGGAAGTAGCATCGTTGTTGCTCAATTGGATACTACTTTAACAAAAAGAAGAATAGAAAACTATATCAGGTTCTATTTATTTATACCTGATTCTAGTAAGCAGCATTTTGTTCTCCCTTTTCTGTTCCTAACAAAATGCAATTTAAAAACAAATCCAATTCATCAGATTACTTAAATCAACTAAGTAATTTATGAGATGTTGAATAAGTATTATTATTAGAAGCTTTATAAGTAGAAATATTGTTTTAAAAGCTAGTTGTTATGAAAATGAAACTATTAGACTTAGTACGAGCAATACTGTAACTACTGACAACACTTCAGTATGTGAATCATCGTCAATTTTTTCAGTAAATTATAAATATAATATATATAAATATATTATAATAATACTACAAATTAGGTACATTTTATAACCTAAAATGTGCAATATAAATAAGCAGATTGGTAAATCCCAATGAAATGTTTAACGTTACAGCCTCCACAGAACTCTGCTTCTAAACATAGGCCTCTCCCATAGATTTTGTTTTTGAGTTGCCACTCTTTACAGGCAGGTTGGCAACCAGTTTTTTTTATTTAGTTTATACTTTTAGCTGGTTGTTTTCCCAATGTCACCTCTTAAAAGATCCACTGGATTATAAGGTGTATTTGATATTCATACTCCACCACTACACAGTTTATCAACTAATTAAACAATAAATAATATTAATCAAATAAATAAACACCAAAAATATTTCTTAATTCTTTATAAAAACCAAATTTCTACAGCAGCTGTGAGGCTTTAAGTGCAAGGAAAGCTGCCCCATTGCTGAATAGCAGATTTCACATCTTGTTATATGTTTTATCTATATCTCAGACAAGTCAGTTTCACAATGTATTCATTTATCACACAGTACAAGTAAAATCAGCTCAGGCTCAGCAGGTTTCAAGCCTAGGTAGCCAGCCTACTGTGAAATTTAGACTTTACCCCCGAAGTATCACAGCTATGAATACACAGATTTAAATATTATATATATATATCAATTTCATAAATGATGAATCAAAAATAAACATACTTTGGTTTAAAACACTCTTTCAAGTGCTATGTTTTTCATGTAGAATATCTAATGTTTAAGGTTTCTTGAAGAAAGAATTGCATAGGTTAGTTTTATACCTAATGGTGTATATACACATAAAAATGTAAACAATCCTCTCAGTGCAAAAAGTTAAAAGAATTAAGAATTCAAACACTACAAAATACATTGTACACTCACAAAAAAATGCTGTCAAAATTGCCATCCTGTTCAACATATTTGAGCACATGTTCCACCATCAATGTACCTATGCCCAGTCTTCTATATGGATATAAACAGCCCAGGGTCATTATGTACAGTCTTCGCGAATTATCTGACGTGTCTATCCTACAGCACACTGCTCCAACAACGATATCATTGTAATAAGCTAACTTCGCCAGCTCTCCTGCTTCCAATACATCTTTATAGAATTTGTCATTATAGGACACTGGAAATACGACTGTGTTTAACTTCTTCAGTTGCTTTATATTATGCGGTGTCACGTCGCCGAGTTCTATTTTAGCTCTGGAAAACCAAAGATGTTCTTTTATGAACGAATCCGAGTGATGTCGAATATTTACGACTTACTACGCGAAACCTTTCTTTAGATAAAGTAGTTCAAAATATAAATAATAATTTAATTTATAAATCGTTTAATTATACATACCTAGTCATTTTAATAACTATTTAACACTAAAAATTTAAAACTAAGCTAACACAATTATATCACACGAGATCACTCCCGCCATCTACCAATCTACCATATTAGCCAAAGAGAATAAAAATATTTCGATTGACATTAGCTCCTTATTGCCATAAAGCAATCTAGACTTTCCTACTCATTTCTACTGCACGTTTTTTTTTGTTGATAATTAAAACCAGATTACAAATCACTATTTGTCATCATTAAATCACCTCTAAAAATCCTATGGAAACGGGCCGGACTGTATCCGCATCCGCAACGGTGCGGCAAAGAGCATTTTTGTGTAATGCATATGCATAAATATTTCGTACATCTCCAGTCTCTCATATTACTTTACTCTTTAGCGTTGCCTGAGACGGGGCGGATCGGGCCGCATCGCAGCGGCGGCAAACGAACGTTAAAGTTCTGATTTCCTAAAATTACTGTGCTGTAATATAACGGCTGTAACACAGTGCCCGCAAAAAACGGCGATACTTACGGCGATCTTTACAGTAACGATAATATTGTCCTCCAGATCGAATTTTTGCCACGGCGGCCTGCCTCAACGGAGGCTAGCCATCTGCGCAGGACAGGCTTATAGTGCCCTTCATGACCAGGCTGACACACATTCCACCAACTCTGCGACTCACCTAGGATGTCAGATGGATCGCTCGCTGCACATGACCCCGATGGTCGACCACGTTGTGGCTCGGGCCAGAGTCGTGCGAGTGAAACTGTACCCTATACTGGCATCCAAACTCCCCTTAAAAACCAAAATCACCATCTATAAGACCTACGTCCGCTCACACAAACAGCGCCAGTCTGGTACGAGCCGACATCGGTCACTCGTCGCAAGAGGTTGCAAGCCGGCTGCTACGTCAGAAATGACATAATACCTTTACATCGAGTCGATCCATGAATTTGTGGCCCGTACTGCGAGACGGTTGTTCGACCGCACAGATAACGGGCCACACCCACACCTACAAAACTTAGCAGGTGCACTACACGCGCGCCCACCTGACGGAAGGCCACTCCCACGAGAACTTCTATGCTCACCTCCCGGCGAGGAAGCCGCCGGGGACGAGTGAGTTTTTCCCGACACCTGATTCGATGGCGTGTAGTAGTAGTAGAGTGTGCCCAGCTAAGGCAAATTACGAGATGAGTTGTGAAGACTCGGCCTGAGTTGCCAGGAGGGAGTTCAGGTCGGCCGAAAGCTAGTTGGGGGGGGGGGGAGCGAGCAGCTAACTCGTCTTGAGATTACCAACAATATATTAGTGGTTGCTACAAATGCGCATTGTATAGAACATTTAAATTGTTATAAAAGAAATAAATTTTGCGAACTGTTGTAACTGATGAATACTAACTTGAGGTTGTGGCTACACATCCAATTAATTACTCCTTTTAAACGCACCTTGTTAATAATATACTTAATGTAAAAATTACGAAATAAGTTGGTGTTAATGTAAACCTTTATTGTTCATTCTTTCCACATGACCAAACCACCGAAGCATTCCTTTCTTAATCCCGATCACAACATCGTCTTGCATACCACATTTATCTCTTATCACGCAATTCCTCACCCTGTCATTCAGATTCAACCTTAGCATATTCCTTAAAGACCGCATTTCTACGGCTTTTATTCTAATTTCGTGCTTCTTCTGCCACACCCAGCTTTCACTACCATACTGAAAAGGAACCCAGACGGGCGGAAACTTTCGGGCTCTGAAACAGAAGGGAGGAATCGAGGCTTCTCTCGATCCGGCCTCCTATAACGCCTACGTTGGGTTCGGGAACAACGTATGTGACCTCCGCAACGGAGTAACACACAAGGGCGATAACCTCTTCCTTTTCAGCAAGTAGATTCAGACGGGGATTACGGGTCTTCCGAAGTCGTCCCGGTCCCAACGCCTTAATTCTTCGATGTGGACTGTATAACTTAAGGGATGAATTTCTTGGGAATAAAACAGCAATTATCTTCAAACCGTTCCGTGAGAGAGTAATCACTTTTCCCTATCACTTCCCTACACTTTTTCTTTCTTCTTCTTATTGACTGCTGGTTTTTCACTTTTCTCGAACTTTTTTCCCGAATATTTCCCGAAGGATTCCCGAACGAATTGCAATAAAACCCGTTCACTAAGCTACCCCAGAGCTATACGCGAAAGTGAGCCGCGCCATTCGCGCGCTTGCGCAACTCAATTACATGAATTTGTTCTATTACTCTCTCACGTTTTACTTAATTTCTTTATTTGCATAAGTCTTACATCAATACAATTTATCTGTATAGATAGCACAAAACAATATCTACACTACGATATACATTACATTTTCATATCACGAAAAACCTTTTATTTATTAAATGAAATATGCCTATTTTAATCACAAGTGCAAAGTCAAAATTTCTTAAATATTTAACACAGAAAGTTAAAACAATGTTTCCCACTTGAATTTATACATAAGTTAACTAATACAATAGTTTAATTTACATTTTCTCTATTTATTTCACTATTTAAAACACTTTTAAATTTCTTATACAAAACTATCATTATTTCATTTATACACAGGAATTTTCACATAAAAATAACACAGAATTCACCTTTTTAGCACGTACAATCAACCTGAAATGTTTAACAAGTCATTTTTACATAAATTGCTGAAATTACAAACATTTTAAATTTTTACATATTCGGCCTCCTAAGGGCGTGGCTAGCGTGCGTCTATGAACTCACACTATTTGAACAACTAACTTTTGCACGGCTCTCGGCTATCAGAAAAAATGAAAGTCTGATATACATTAATTTTAACAATATTGGGTGAATAAATTCATCTACACGATTTTCAAACTGTAGGAAACTATTTCTAATCAGATTCTTATCAGTTATCATGTTTCTTATCAGATAACAATATAAGTGAATGTTTTCATAAATCAATCATGGCAAATAGGCATTTGTTTTCGTACAAAACATATCAAACTCATATAAAACAATACTTATGCAATTAATTTCCGTTAATTCTATTTATGCACAGAGTGATCATCTCGACCGGGGAACAAATCCGATCTCTAACTTCACTTTAATATTTCTTTGAATTTACATCATTGGAAAGATGATTTCAACCGGGGAAACAATCCGGTAACATAATTTATATCTTAAATTCCTTATGAATTTAGCGATATTACTTAGGAAAGCAAATAAACTAGTCCGGCCTGGGAGTCGAACCCAAGACCTTCATATCATTAATTCGATATTTCTTCAAGATTTAACTAAGCATTTTCTTATCAGATAACAATATTATTGGACAATATGCCTTTGAGACGTTATTCGTTATCGGTTGACTTAATAAACTGAAATATTCTTATAGGCGCGTCGCCAACACATCATTAAAGTAGGGACTAACACAGCATTATGAATTATCATACGTGCCTTTTTTGACACATTCTGGTTCTTCATAATAGAGTGTAGTCCCCCATTCACTCTATTCCTTGCATTTACTCGTCGTTCTATATCCCTATCATATCTACCATTCCTGCTAAATACACATCCCAAATACACAAACTCATCCACTTGCTCAATTAACTCTCCTTCTATTCTTATTTCACATATCGTATTGCTTTCTTCTCTTTCAAAAACCATCACTTTCGTTTTACTTGCGTTCACTTTCATTCCCCTTTCTTTTGATTCCCAGTTCATTAATGTAACCATCATTTGCAACTCAGCCGCCGATGACGCAATATGACTTGATCATCGGCATACAAAAGGCATTTGACGGTTAACTCTCCCATTCTTAACCCACATTCTTCAAAAAAAAAAATAGCTTTTAAATTAATAGCTCTTTTAGGCGTTAAACATGCCTATGTTATGTAACTAACATGCGTAAAAGGTCTTATTAAGGCCTCTGCTATGTACAATCTAGGTATAACAATATCAAGAAAAGTATTCAGATAACATTTATTTAAGTATTGACTACAATAATCTGATCTGGTCACTTTTTTATAAATGCTTTAATTTTCTTATTTGAAGGGCTTAAAAAGTTGTAATTTTTTGTTTTTTTTACTGCAAATTTCTATTTTTTTTCTATTAGAACTATAAACGTAGCAAAGTCTTAAAACCACATAAAATAGAACTATTTTCAAGATAATTAGAAATAAATGAAATTAAAAAATATATATTTTCGTACCTTTTACTTATATTCCATTTATAAACCAGAAACAGCTGAAATTTCTCTCAGTTCCGCTGGAATTTCTCGGCGTTCAGACGTTTGGAGTGTTGCTCAACGTTACTTTACCTCTCGCTCGCATGGTTGATCTCTTTCCCTCGCGCAGCTCTTATGGACTGAGCGGAGCACATCGTGAAAGTTGCTCTACTTAAATATATATTATTTTTATTTAATTGTCATATTGGTTCCAGTTTTTAGTGTATTAGTGTTTATATTAGTATTAGATTAATTGACTTTTATATTTGGAGAATTTCAGTTTATTACCAAAAAAAAAACGGAAAAAGATGGATAGAAAAAAGAAGAAATATCCTTGTGTCAGTAAAATAGTAGTAAAAGTAGTAGAAAAGTACAAAATGTACAAGGTAGAGGCGAAATTTGTATGAAGAGGCATTTTTTATTTTCCTTCAGTTGTATATACCCTTTCCAAACCTACACCCCGTTTAAACATTACTAAAAACGACATTTATGAAATATAAAAGGGTAAAAAATTATACTACCATGACAAAAGTAAAAGGAATATTTTTGGAAAAAAAATTAATAAGTTATATATTTAATGAAGTAGAGCAACCTTCACCTGCGATCTCGAACGTATTTATGCACGGGGGAGAGCGCCCCCTCTAATGGCTGGGAATGTAAAACAGCAAAGCTAGACGGAAGCCTTAATGTAACAGTGAACAGACGGTTAGTATAACAATAAAAAGCGGCTAATTTATGTTGCCATGGATGACACAATGACGCGGGGATGACCGTGTCGGTATGAGTTGGCTTTAGATAAATTTGAAAAACATGCAACGACTCTTTTCTTGTTATTGTTAAGTCAAGGAAATTATAATAGATTTCCGCAAAGTAACGCCTGATTCTATCAATTATGTTTTATAGTACTTAAGTATATATGATAATAATTTATTCTATCAGTTTTTTTTTCATTTAACAAAATGGCCCTTGTTTTTCGAGCCTCAGCCTCGATAACTCCTGTCATTGTTATAATTAGAGATGGGCCACGTATAGATTTCACCGGAAATGAATATTCGGCCGAAAGTTCGGTAAAACTTTTACCGAACCGAATATTCGGCCAAACATTTTTCGACAGGATCACCTCGGTACCTAATCAATTTATGTCGAAACTTGTTACCGTAAAGCACGCAGGATTAGTGCCGGATCTTGCCTCTCGCACCCCGCACACCTGACATGTTATTGAATCATCTAGTACTGAGCAAATTGCCAGCATATGCTTATGTTTTGACTATTTTTATGAGATAAAAGTATTTCTTTATGTTATTCTTAGTGAAAATTGATAATTGTATAATAAAAATGAGTGGGAGTAGATCTATTATTTGAACTTATTTAAGAGAAACTGACAACCAAATTAATTACACCATGTAATCTATGTTGAATAAAAATTATTCTATTCTATTCTAAAGTAAAGTGAAATGTAGTAATGTAATGTTTTTTTTTAAAATTTTTGTTTCTATTTGCTATATTTTTTATAGAATTAGGGTGACAAACGAGCACACAGTCCACCTGATGGTAAGTGGATGATGTGGTCCATAGACACTACATTTAACCTCGATTAAGAATCAAAATGCAGATGCGTTGTCACCCCTGAGTACTAAGATGGAGTGCCTCTATTCCAGTAAAACTGGTCCCGGTTCTCTACACTCACCATACGAAAGACAGCAGCATCAAGCTGCTATTTTACGCTGGTATTCTGTGAGCGCATGGTCCTTCCCTGTTCGAGCAGCGTGGCTCTACCATCTAGAAAAATTATGATAATAACTATAACTGGAAATATGTCTACAGTGCCTCAAAAACATAATGCTATACAAGTAGATTAAACCCATGGATAAAATATACTTTCAACAGTAAAATTATGAGACATGGCATTACTTAATTCGTACATTTCAATACAGTGGAAACTTTGAGTATCACTTTAACGAATGGTTGGTGATTTAGCCGAATATTCGGCCGAATACGAATATTCGGTAAAGCTGCCGAATATGCCGAATAACGAATGTGAAACAAATATTCGACCCATCTCTAGTTATAATATATCAGTATGAAAATTTTCGAAACAATCGGTTCAACCATTCTGAAGATTATAAATATTGTGTGAATACATACAAGTACAACTTTAATAAAATGCCTCAAACAAACTTCTGAAAATACTTTTTACAAAGCATTCATATTAGTTACATTATTACCAAATTAATTAATTTTAAACTTATTGATTTTATACTTTCTCATTATTACTGTGGATTATTACAGCAATAATTAGAACAACTCAAAGTTTTTTTTATTTAAAGCGAAAAAATGCATTGCAATCAAAGAATAATAATACTAAGCAGTAAGTAGCTATCAATTTATTTAAATAATATTTTTAATAATGCATAAATATTACATATAACAACTTTTTGGAAATGATGCCTTATTAAAAAGAAATCGTTCCATTTAACAAATTTTTTATATTAAATCCGAGACATAATTTTCAAGATTATATTTTGTAGCAAATTGTCATATTCATAATAATTTTTTCGATAATGATCTTGGGAAAGTTAAAATATGGTCAATTATTTATTAAAAATGCTTATTTTCAAAACCGTGTGTTTTCGTTGAAAAACAAAAGATTACAGACAGTTAAATCAATGGAAGTCAAAACTACAAATCAGACTGAAGATGAGAATTCTGTACATGTAGTTACTCATAAAAGCGAAGCATTGATTAGCGATATGTTCCCAGCGTCACGTATTGTACCAATGGTGTTATCTACTAAGGAACCTGTTGTTCTATCCTTTGATGATGTGCCAGGACCGAAATCTTTGAAGTATATGTCTACTTTCCGACAGTATATTTCTGAAATAGGAACTCAGATTATTGCAAGTACTTTAATTGCCGGATTAAATGTTGGTAAGAATTAGTGTGCTATCCTTGTACTATAAGATGAACAAACGTATTTACTTGGAAGGTGTAGCACAAGGTGTATAAATACGTACAAATGTTAGCTCTATAGATTATAAAACTTTAGGACTGGATTCTTAGTCCTAACTTAAAAGCGTATTTGTTTTTCTTACTTTATTACCCCCTAAAATGCAAGTACAAGCAGTGTTAGTAACTGTGAGTCAGGCAATGTAGTCTATGTGGTCTCTTATGTACCCTTATTTTATAAAAAAAATAACTGAAACAAAAAAGTTACCTACCATGTAATACATATGTTATACTTACCATACATGGTTACAATACGTGGTAATTTTAACACGTCTTGGTTTTAAAGGAGAGTATTTGCTTGTTTGTTACTAAAGAAGTACTAAATCCGCATATTATGTTCCGCGGAACTTCAGACCTTTGGTTAACTCTAGGCTAATTATAAATTATTTACTTTTTTATGATAATACGGATAGTGTTTTAAAGTAATTAGTTATCTTAAGTATAAAAAGTCTGAAATAAATTTTTCTATCAAAAAACTAAATGTTGACTTGTGTTGTTACCGAAAGTGGTTTATAGTTAATCGCAATTAGATTTAAACTAGTCTGTTTCAATAAAGAAGTCTCATAGAAAATCATCGTCATCATTACAGCCCAAGACAAGTTCACTGCCGAATATAGGCACTCTCCCAAGTAATGTGAATGTAACAATCGACTTGCATTACCATGTCGTCATGGCATCTGGTGGGAGGGAATTTAGGTGCCCTATGCTTCGCTTGCAAAAGAAAAAAAAGAATGGGATTTGTCAGCGAATGTCAAGTTTCGAGAAGACTGTGGCGGCGCAGCGAGTATTTACAGAACACATTGCGTTTACCGAAACGTTTTCCGACTGAAATTGGAAAATGTTGCTGCCCATCTCCTGTTCGTTTTCTCTTTGTCATCTCTTATGACGCCCAAGGATTACATACCTTTAAGTACACCCGATTTACGGCCAACGAGACACCATAAGGAAGTTTAAGAGTAATTATGTATTATATGATACGAAGTGTCTGTAATGTCAAAATGACATCTTTTGCATATGAAGGTATATACACGGTACTTATAACAAAAAACAGTTTAAAAAATTTTGTTTATCTGTCTGTCGGTCTGTCTGTCTGTTTGTTTCGGCTAATCTCCAAAATGACTGAACCGATTTTGACTGGACTTTTACTGGCAGATAGCTGATGGCATAAGGAGTAAGTTAGACTACTGTTATTTTTGACACATTTAGATATCCGCGCGAAAAAAATCAAAAAACATTAAATCCAACCGTAAGAACAAACTATGCGAACGCAGTCGCGGGGAAAAGTTAGTAAACTAATAAGAAGTACTATCATCCATACCTTGTCTTAATTTGTTTTTAATTTAGGCAAATAGTATGTACATGACATAATTCAAACCTTTCTTTGAATCACTATAATATAGATACAATAAAATTTTTAAAAATATTATTACATCTAGATGATATCTTAAATTGAACTAAGTTTATTAAATTTGTTTGAAATTTGAAGGCACGTACTGGCAAAGCAAAAAAAATGCGAAGAGTTTCTCGATACTATTTGATAAATATGGTCCAGTAGTGCGTTTTGTGAGTCCAGTAGGAGGAGACGTCGTATTAATTAATCGTTTAGACCATATTCAAAAAGTATACACTATGGAAGGTGAACACCCAGTGAGGTCTGCTTTGGATTCTTTGGAGAAATATAGGACTGAACATAGGAAACATGCTTATGGAGGAATATACACAGTGTAAGTAACGGTTTTGTTGTTAACGTGGAGTTATGTTAAAGCATGATTGATAGAAAACGTAGATATATAATATTTTGTTCTCATAAAAACTATGTAGTATGGAAGTAAGGAGCACCAACTCTCATAGTAGAATAGTTGAAAAAGTGGCCATCTGTTAGCAGTAAATAACAGTTCAAAAACTCTCCACAACAGCGCTGGAGTAGCTACTGGGATGAAATGAACTTAGCAGTTGTCGACGGTTTGAAGTGTGATGCTAAACTGCTCAGTAGCTCTAAAATCTAAAATAATTTTATTTAGTAAATATAGCCTCGAAAAAGTCGTCTATCCCACTAATATTTTTCGGCACATTCTTTAAAATTTAGCCCGTAGCTATAGTGGCGCCACCCTTATTTAACGGTTTTCTATGGACACTTTTTAATACACAGTCTGTACTCCTTATTTCTACACTTCATAATAAAAACGCTGGTAGGTGTCCTTGCAACTGACATAAAGTAGAGAAGTTGATCCGAGGAGTTAACGTTGTCCCTACAGGAGTTCACAACAAAGACAATAACATCTAAATAATCGGAAGCTATGAACTGGGTATAAAATAGTATAGTAATAGTGGACTACTCTACTCACTCGTACATAGCTATCTTTATAGCTACGTGTGTCGGGTGTACCGCTTCACAATGTGCTATGAGATTGGAGATAGGTAAGCATGCAATAACCGTGCGGTGGTGGTGTGAGAATATCCGTTACCATCATCCCCTGGGTGTCGTAAGAGGCGATAGTGGGAAATAAATCAGGAGATGGTCAATACCGTCTTCCTAATAATAAAATATACAAAATTGCGGTTGCCAACCCACTTGCCAAGCATTACAGCTATGCAAGTATCTCCCTTTGAGGTAATCTATGGAGTGGGCCTATGTTCACAAGTGGACTTTTAGTAGACTGTAACGGTAAGGATGCCATTGTCAGAAACATGGGGACTATCTTTACTCAACCACATCCTAATACCAACATGTGTTTGTAAATAAATTTGACTCTGTATAGGATTCAAACTATTGAAATGTTATGTACTAAGACCTCCAAAGAAAGAAAGACAGCGCGTCGTTGCGTACATTTCAAGTCACGCAAAAACTAAGTCAAAACCATGCTCAACTTATAAGGACACGCACTCAGGTGTGAGGTGCGTCCAAAAGTGAATTTTTATGGACTGTTAAAGTAAGAAAGATGTGTGCGTGAGTGCGTGTCAAGAAGTTGAATGTGAGTGTTTCGGCATCACTTGAAATGCTAACAGCACAATCTAGTACCGGTGACGGATGTCTCTGACATCTGATCATACGTGGTAGAGCCACTTTGCAGAGTATTATGGCTGCAGCATGAATAGATTGGTACGATACGATCGAGGAAGGACCACGCTTGTACAAAATGCTTATAGCGTAAACTGGAGACTTTCTTCGAGACCTTGACTTTCTACGAGGCTCTCTATTTTAGTCCTAAGCAGTGACTAAAATCGAATGCCTTAATGCATTTGCATTTTGATTCTTTATCGAGGATAGAAATGTACACACACAGTGGATGCTGTAGCGAAATATTACCTTGCTAAAAATGATATGGAACAATTAGGTACCAACTGCTTGCACTTGAACGATTTATTACTGCTGTGCTGAAACTCGTTTTATACGTAGTAGAGCCACGCTGCAGCTATATTATGGTTGTAGCACGAATGGGTCGGCTCGATTGGGAAAGGACCACGCTCTCACAGAATACCAGCGTGAAATATTAGCCTAACGCTGCTTTGTTGCGTATAGTGAGTGTAAAGATCTCGGAGACTTTTTTTTAACTGGAAACGAGGTGTTCTATCTTAGTACTCAGGGGTGACAACGCGTTCTGCGTTTTGATTCTTAGTCGAAGATAAATGTAGATGTCTATGGGTCACAGCGTCCACTTATCATCAGGTGGTCGTTTGTCACCCTTATTATATAAAAATAAGATAAAAATATCTTCTGAGGCTAAACTCCGGCAACACTGATGTACATACAATGTGTATGTACGTCAGTGTTGCCGTTTCAGTGCCAAATGCGCTAGATCTATAACTCGTACTAATTAACTTGAGACCTGGGCCGATGACGTAATTGTCAATGTACGGTGTGCAAAATAATGCGTCGTAATATTTTTTTATTTGAAATTTTTGAGATTTGAATGAGATTATTAATAAAAACAAAATAAAATGTTCTGGCAAGGGGTGAAGTAATAAGTGATATGACCTAAAGTATGATATATAATACATATAAAAAATGTCAATAAATATGGGTACGTACCTGGAAAATTTAGATCTGCTTTTGCAGCCGTTAAAATCTTTTTCAATTTTGGAATTTCTTTCCGTACAAAAAAAAATAATAGTCAACAAAAGTCAACAAAAGAAATAATAGTCGTCCAGATAGACTTTTCAATTTTTTCAATTCGCCTGCCGAGTGTGGCAGCTATGGTAAATATCCCCCGTATGCGGTAATCTTCTGGGAGGCCTATGTTCGGCTGTGAACTTTGATAGAATAAATTTTAATCGAGACGCTCTGCACTAGGTCGCTCGCATTTGCAACACAATGGATGTTGAAATTGTGGTAGCGTGCGCGCTATGCATATTTATTATAGCTAATTATATCAATTTCATAAAAAGAAATAATCGTCGTCCAGATAGACTTTTCTCTGTATATTCTTTACTAATATGATAATGATGGCTGAAAGATGATGACACGTTCACTATTTATGATTTTTAATTGCTTCCGTAACGAGCGTTCGATTCGGCCTGCGTTTGTGCGAGTATGTGGCCAGTCACTCGCGCTCATATTGCCAGTCTTTTAACTCGCGCCCGAAAAACAAACAAAACTGGGAACGATGGGCATGACGAGGAACATGGCCTACGGCATGACTCACGGAGGAATCACGGTCCGGAGCTACCTGCATCCATCGACTTCCCGCATATATTCATACTTTACATTTTGCAGGAGAAGCTCACAAATGATAGAATTTTGAATCAGATTATCCCAGATTGTATTATACTTGTAAACATAACTCCATGGGCACACAAATACCAAGCGCATCCCGCACGTATATCAGTGTTGCCGTTTCAGCGCATTTGGCGCTAGATCAAGTGCAATTCTAGGGTCTATAGCGTTTTTTTGAAATATAAACGTGCTAAAAATATCTAGTCTACTAGATATTTTTAGCACGTAGATATTTATAAAAAAACACTATAGACTCTAGACTTGCACTACAACACGTACGAATTAACTTGAGACTCCGCTGGAATGCGACCCCCTTCCCGACTCCCCGAACCGCGTCCCGCGCTGGCCGTGCGCGCTCAGTACCGATAGCATTTTTGTTACGGATACGCGTCTCGACTCTAGTTCGATATTTTTAATAATTGTTTGTTGTTTGGTTTGGACTTTTGTTTGTTTTTGTTATACTTGAACGTTATTTTATCTGTTTGTTGTTAATTGCGTTGTTTTATTGTTAAGTTTGGACGTTGTGTTGTGCCGTTTTCTTGTGACGCTTAGGAGTTACTCCGCCTTTTTTATTTAAAAAAAAAAAGATGGGAGGAAAGACAATACATAGCCAAGCAACGGACACTTGCTCTAAAAGTTTTAAAATTTTTCGAAGATGAAAAATCAAATAAAAAGTTTCTTATTCCTGTGGACCAAGCTTTAAAGAGGGCTTGTGCAGCAACAGGCATATCAAAGGCAACACTACTAAGAATCAAAAACGAGGCGAAAAAAATTTCAGTCAATTTCTCAAGACCAAAATGATGATGTCACAGTAGTATCGGAACCATGTACTTCTCAAGCAAGACCAGAACTTAAACTATCTACTCCAGGAAAAAAAAAGGAAACAGAGCTCAAAAAAAATTGAACTCGACAATTTTGATCTGTGTGCTCTAAGAAACCTTGTCAACAGTATATTAATCAATGGTAAGTCTATAAGTATGGCATATCATTGGAAAGTAATTATATATTATACTCGGCGTCATTAGAAAAAATAATGGTTATCATTTGTTTTTACCGAGATATAAAAAAAGAAGTTAATGTCCACAAGAAGAAAATTAAGATTTATTGCAACTTACAAAATTAAAAAAAACATGTTTTGAAACGACCTAAAACCTAGTGTTAACCACCACTTGCCTTAATTACTGCTTCCATACGGTCTTTCATTGATCTAATCAACGTAACAATGCGTTCTTGAGGAATGTTGTCCCATTCCTCAATGACAAACTCCTCGAGTTCTTGCAGTGTGGTGGGGGCAGGATCACGAGTCCGTACTCGCTGCTTTACATCATCCCGGAGGTGCTCTATCGGGTTCATGTCTGGACTTTGCGCCGGCCACCGTATAACAGAGATCCCGACCTCTTGAAGGTAATCACGTACAATTAATGCAGTGTGGCAGCGGGCGTTGTCATGCATTCATGTAAATCCATCGGCAACAAAACCCGCTTATGGAACCACATGCTCTTCTAGGATCTCCAATATGTATCGGTGAGCAGTCAGCGACCCTTGACCACGAGCACCTCCACTCCATGCCACACCAGAACATGCATGAGCCACCCTTGAATTCAACTGTTTCTTCAATACAGGCTTGTGCAAATCGTTCACCTTGCCTTCTGTATACTCTTATGCGTTTATCATTTGAGAAAAGACATACTCTCGTCTCATCCGAAAAAAGTACTGTCCTCCATTTGTCGATCGTCCAATCAATATGATAGTGTGCAAATTGCAATCGATCTCTGCGATGCTGTGCGGTCAATTTTGGACCAGTTGCAGGCCTATGCGCTGCAATTTTCTTTTCTCTTAACCGTCTTCTGATCGTAGAGACGCTTACAGATGTTCTGCGAGCTGATCGTAGCTGCTGTTGCAGTTCTACAGCATTTGAGAATCTATTGCGTAAAGATGTCGATACAATTAATCGATCGTCTCTTTGTGATGTGGAGAACTGTCGCCCAGATCCACGCCTCCGAATATAGTCATTGGTGTCCTGGAACTGGTGGAATACTCGTCGAACGGAAAAACGGGATAGATTTAGTTGCCGAGCGACATCACACTGTCGCATCCCTGACTGCAGTAGCAAAATCACTTGAGCGGTTTCACCAGCAGTGTTACCCATATTGTGGGTTTTAAGCTTGCTTCGGAAATTTACGCGTATCCTCTTCAACGTTTGGAAAGGGAATGACTCACATCTTACCCTGTACTGGCCCTTTTATAGCACATTACGCACCGCAACTAGTGATCTTTACGACACGTATTTTAGAAAAAGTTATTTCAACGTCTCGTCCTCAGAAGATTACTTAAGTTTATGAAACAAAACAGTTGTTAATTTAAAGGTTAATAAACGCACTTTCAGTAGATACCAATAATGACTCGATTAAATGTAAACACTGAGAGCCAGACACTCAAGTAACTTTTTTTCGGGGAGGTGCGATTTTTGTGACGTCGAGTGTATATATATATACAGTTTTGTGCCAGATTGTTTTCCTAAGTATCACACATCACTTTCATATTTTACTACAGGAGAGATCAAATCTACACCTAACAATATTAATGCCGTACATTATACTACACAATACAAAAAAAAAATACAAAATTTACAAAAAACCAATATAAAATCTATGTGATATGGGAATGAGTGTGTAATGACTGTAAGCTTTTTTACTGCTCTTTTGAATATCCTTGATATTGGGTCAAAAATATCCAAGCCGGAGTCTTTCATGAATATCTCGTTGTAAAGTCGACACATTCTTATTATTGGGTTGTAAAAAGAAGTATTATTCTTGTAAGTCTGCAGGTAAAATGTCTTGCTATGAATTCGGGGATTGCACTTTTGTAATTAAGTTTAATTTACTTAAGAGGTAACCGGAATCGATCTCATTATGGAGAATTTTATGTAAATACATAAGGTCATATTCCTTACATTACATTTTGTCACTGTATAAATAATACGTTTTTTTTAAATGTCTTTCAAATTTTATAATATATCAGTTACGGACCAGAGTGGATACGCCGAAGGTCTATGGTGGACATACCATTACAAAGTGCAATTACGCAACATATTCAGGGCATTTGTGAGTCCTGCAACAAGTTAACACTGAAATTATACAACTTAAGAAACTATCAAGATGAAGTGCAAAAGAATCTAGAAAAAGAAATTAACAAATGGGCCTTTGACTGTATGGGTAAGTGTAATAAATACCTAAAGTGCCAATAATATGGCCGATATTCCAAAAAATAGAGAATCCGATATATTCGTGGTAGCTTA